AGTGTATCTGACCCCTTGAATTAGATAAACTATATTCTAGGGCCTTCAGGAAACTTCCAACAGAATCCTGGAGTAGAAGAGCTATGTTAAACATTATAAGACAGGACCTGCTTTCATTTATAGAAAGAATGACACTTCAGACTGGTGAGTTTAATACTGATGACTCATTAAATTTAGGCTGGACCACCAATCTGAGAATTTTCAAGGAATTTGAGGTCAAAGAAAAGATTAGCACATTTCATCTGGGCTCAGTAAGGCAGGCAGAATAAGCTCTACCTGATTAGTCTTGTTTTCCCTAGTAGATATGGTCACTGACTGACTGACAAAAATAATGTGTAGTAGAGTACACCTAGATTTGAATAAAACGACAAAACATTTCATGGCATCTTTGAGAGCAAGATGGAGTCACATGGTTGGATGACAATACAAGTTGATAGAACCATAACTGGTTGAACCAACCTGACCCAAATGTAATTTCAATACAGAGGGATGCCTTTACTGAGGGGTACATCTTGCATTTGACAACAGATATTTGCTAAGCACCTGCTGTGTGCCAGTCACTGGGTTTGGCTCTGGCTATTCCTTCTTAGGATTTTATACATCAGTGTCGTGGAGATATGGAAATTTCCACACAATGTGCATCTGGGAGTGCCTGAGTGGCTGTCAGGGTCCCAAGTTATAACAGGAATGATGGGCTAACTCTAGTGAGAGGATGTTTAGTAGGGATAATTGTAAAGGTTTGCACATCAGGGAGGAGGAATGGCAGCAACTTTGATGCAGGAGAAAATGCTCTATGTCTGGAGTCCAAAGACCTAAGCCAGTCTAAGATCTTCTCTTTCTTAGCTGTCTCTACTCAAGCAAGCCATGGCCACTTTCTGTCTTTATATAAGAACACAGGTGCATAGGGACATGGACAAAGACAGGCACTGCTATGTTCTGTGGTGCTGGAGAGCTAGCGGCAACCTGGGTGACCATCACAAGGAAGTTCATGGCTAAAAATTAGATTAGAAACCTGAGTTACATGTATTTATAGCAATGTAGATAGATCTTATCAACACAAAACTTAGGAAACATATGAAAAGTAATGCTATACCTTTTATATATGTTGATAGTTCATTCATATTTACAAATTATATATTTTAAAATTTTTATGTAAATTGAAAGATATGTAGTAAGATGGTTGCCAATGGGGAGACAGAAATGAGGTTGGGATATGGCAATAAAATTTAAAAAGAGAAGTCATGAACTGAGGAGTACATTTCACTCAACCCTTGGCACCTGAGGTTAAAAGAAAATTCCACTTTATCTTGGCATAGAAACTATACACCATGGAATACTATGCAGCCATAAAAGCAGATGAGTTCATGACCTCTGCAGGGACATGGATGAAGCTAGAAACCATCATTCTCAGCAAACTAACACAGGAACAGAAAACCAAACACTGCATGTTCTCATTCATAGGTGGGAGTTGAATAATGAGAACATACGGACACAGAGAGGGGAACATCTTGCACTGGGGCCTGTTGGGGGTAAGGGGCTAGGGGAGGGAGAGCATTAGGAGAAATACCTAATGTAGATGAAGAGTTGATGGGTGCAGCAAACCACCATGGCATGTGTATACCTATGTAACAAACCTGCATGTTCTGCAGGTTTGTACCCCAGAACTTAAGGTATAATTAAAAAAAAGAAAAGAAACTGCATATAATAATTCTCTAAGCCTATTATTTCATGATGCTTCTAGAAGGATTCATTATGACTAGATTAGAGGTTTGAAAGGGTCTTTTAGACAGAAAATAGAAATACATGAGAAGTCTGAGAATTCACCTTCCAGCTCATGACGTCATTTTGTGTTTGATCAGTCTGGCTTACCTCACTCTATTATTATTTTTATTCAAGCAAAACAACTTTTCTTATTTCTTATTAGAACATGCACGTTTCTTGTAAAAAAAAAATTAAAATGTAGGAGATTATAAAGAAAAATCTAATAATCCATATTTTTAGTTGGTATGGTATTTTGTGCCAGTCATATATACACATATATTTTATTCTTGTCATATGTATACATATATATACATATATACAAAATATATTTATAATTCTCTGCAAAAATGCAGAGAAATCATTCACCATCTTCACCTTTTTCTTCATAAAGAAAAACTGCTGAACATGACCTTTTGTCTTCACTTTCTGTACAGACAATAGTAAACTATCCCTTCTCGCCCACCAGAAGGCAACCAGACACGGAGGAAAAGAGATGCGGAAAGGAGAGGGGAAAGAAAAAGAGAGAAAACATACAGAGAAAGCACAGAGACACAGCAATAACATAAGAGATAAGGGTGAGGAGGAAAGAGTAATCAGAACAAGAATGGAGACACACAACAGACACAGTGGCAACCAGAGAGAACGAGGGTGGCGGATGCGGGGCACAAGTACACGTGTGGGTGAGCAGAGGCAGACAGAACAGAGAAGCAGACAGAGTGCAAAGAGATCACAGAGAGAGAAGAGGGCCTGGACTGCAGAGACGACAGTGGCGGAGACAGCGAGAAACACAGAAAGAGCCAGTCAAATAAGGAGGAGGGGTCCTTCAAGGCAGGAGGGAGGAGCAAGCAGCTGCAGTTATTCCCTTACAGTGACTCCTGAACTCTCAAATGTACAACAAGGTAAAAATGTCCTGGGTACACAAGCTCAGGAAAAAAGACGTTAACACATCTAAGGAAATCGAGGCTAAAGACAAGAAAACTCAAATAAGAAGAAATATAAATGGTCAAAAACACACAGCAAAAAATAAAAACTCAGTGGATGTCATTAAAGAAATGTGAAGTGGAACAGATATCATATTCCTGGCCTATTAGACTGGCAACTGTGAACAAGAGTCATGCAATGCTATTGGCAAGTATGGACCAGCATGAGCAAATAATTGACCAGGGTGAGCAAATAATTGATTAGACCTCTCAGAAGGACAATTTTTCTGTGAGGATTAAAAGTTTTCAATGTGCATACTAGCTAACTCACAAATTTCATGTTCAAAAATATACCTCAAGGAAATAGAATTCAAAATGATAGAAAAAGACTATTCATCAATCTATAGATAATGAAAAAGAAATATTTTAAATGATTTAAATATCTGTTAGTAGGGAACTAATTAAATAGTATAAGTGTACAATGGAACCCATAAAGCAATTAAAAATGACTACACAAATCTGTATTTAACACAGAAAGATGTCAATTATGATATTAAATGAACAGTTTTAAAACAAACAAAAGTTGGAAATAAGAGTTTCAAATCACTTGGTATAATTCCATTTTTTAAATTAAAACAAGGTATGCAAATCATAAAATATAAAACTGTAAGGTTATATATGAAAATGTTAATCAGGACTATTGCAGGATGGGGAGAATTATGGATGAATTCCAAGGCTTTTTTATTTTCTATGTTGTCTGAACCCTTTATATTTATCCTTTTACCTTTATACTTAATACAAGATTTTTTTGATGAAAATATTTGGTAATAGAAAGATGTAAGGTGATAGAAACATCAACAGAAGCCATGGTGTCATGCTTGTCCTCCCCAGTCCATGATGAGGAATGACTTAAACATGGTTCCAGTGAGGAGGAAGCAGCCAATAGAAACAGAGAAGCTGTGTAAATAGGAGAAATGCTGAGAAAACGGATGATGGATTTTAGGAAGTAGACGGGCATAATGAATCTCCTCTTCCATAACTAAAATACACAAACAAAAAGAAACCAAACATGAAAAGAATCTTCAGAATCCGGAGAAGGGGCTCAACTCATATCACAGAGCTAAGACACAGCTCTTTCTCCACAAAGGATCACACATACAGAGGGTGAAAGGTGAGTCATTACATTCAAATACCCTACTGATATCCCACTTTTGGTAGAAAAGGTGACTGAGGTAATAAGTGGCCCAGAAGAAAGAGATAAACTTCTCAACTAGAAACATAGATCCCTGTTTAAAAAAGAAAAACCCATTTCTGCCCTAGCCCGAATGAAGATTAATTACATACCCCTTCTAGCCAGAAAGAAATCAGAAAAAGGTCTGGAAAATTATCTCTTAGATCTAAATGTCTTAGCTGCATTAGAAAGATTTGCTAGAAAAGAAATCAGGCCCAGCAATATTATTGTGCACAAGGTAAGTCACCAAAGCAGACAACAGCCACTATAAAGAAGTACAAAAACAAAACCTCAAGGGCACGTCCCATAGAACTAGATACTTCCCTTACCCTGCAACTGGTAAAGCAGCCACCAGTTTGTGAGTTTTAAAACAATCACAGAGAAAAATGTCACTTCAGGAGGTTGTACAGAGTCCTAGAGTCACCTACTCCCTCTCTGGCTTCCCCAACCTCCGAGGAATGAAATTAATACAAACCACATACAATTACCAGTCATATCTTGGGAAGGGGATTCAAACAGCAATTTATAAACATGTATAAGGCAGTTAAAGAGAATTCAACCAGATTACTATGGGTTTCCATAGTGAGCGAGAGCCCCTGGGGATCCACGCTTTCCGCAGGGACCTGTACAATCCTGGGATGGGAGATTCCTCCTGACCCCAGGCATACAGACTGATACAGACAGCTGCCCAGAGTGTTTATGGGGGCAACACTCAAGTCCACAAGGGACCACCATAGGCCTTGGTTCCCAGAATAGCCTGGTGCCTTCTGCCATACCTCTAATACAGGCTGCAGTTGTGGTGGTAAGAATGCTCAACTCCACCTCACAAGACAATGCTTGATGACAGCTTCTAGCACAGTGACCCTACTTTTGTCTAAAAACTCTGCAGATGGGTATAGCACCATGTTCTCCTAGGAAGCACCCAGACAGCCGAATGAGTGACTCCTGCTACCCCTACTGCTCATAGCCAGGAGGTGCATCCCTGGTGGGGCTTCCTGCATAGCAGACCCATTTTTGCCTGAACAATTCAGGTCGGCACAACCCTGTCTTCCCCTGGGAAGCACTCAGGTGGTGGAACAGGTGACTTCACCCACTCCTGCTCCTCCTAGCTGTGTGGGATGCACCAGTTGGGGCTCCAAGCAGTGGACCCACCTCTACCTGAATTATGTTAGTGGCACAGCTCTGTGTTCCCCGCAGAAGAACCCACATGGTGAAAAACTAACAATGAAATTCTGGCCTTAAACTGGACACTTGACCAATTGGAGCTAATAAACATCTAAAGAATACTCCACCCAACAACTACAGAATACACAATCTTCTCATTCACATCTGACCTTTGAAAAATTGACAAAAATGTGATTCTTCTGAATCACATTTATTCATTTGCATATGTGGAATCAACCTTCCATTCCAGGAATAAACTATACTTGATGGTGGCGAACAAATTTTTTGATGTGCTTCTGGATTCTGTTTTCTCCTGGAACTGATGAACAAATAGGAAAACAAGATGCCTAACTATCTCTCTTTGCTGATGACATGAGTTACGTAGAATACCCTAAAGACTCCACCAAAAGGCTCCTGGAACTGATGAACAAATTCAGTAAAGTTTCAGGATACAAAATCAGTAGCATTTCCCTACATCATTAATGTTCTAGCTGAGAACCAAATTAAGAACACAATCCCATTTACAATAACCACAAAAAAGTGAAATACCTAGGAATTCATCTAATCAAGGAGGTGAAAGATCTCTACGAGGAGAACTATAAAACATTGCTGAAGGAAATCAGATGACAAATAAAGGGGAAAAAAATTCCCATGCTTACGGATGAGAAGACTCAATACTGTTAAAATGGCCATACTTCCCAAAGCAATTTACAGATTCAATGCTATCCCTATCAAAATAGCAGTATCATTTTTCACAGAATTAGAAAAATGTATTCTAAACTTCATTTGGAACCAAACAAGAGCCCAAATAGTAAAAGCAATCCTAGGCAAAAAGAACAAAACCAAAGGCATCACATTACCCAACTTCAAACTATACTATAAGGCTACCATAACCAACATGGTACTGGTACAAAAAGAGACAAATAGACCAATGGAACAGAATAGAGAGCTCAGAAATAAACCTGCACACCTACAACCATCTGACCTTTGAAAAATTGGCAAAAATAAGCAATGAGAAAACAACTCTGTATTCAATACATGGTGCTGAGATAACTGGCTAGCCATATGTAGAAGAAACTAGACTCCTACCTCTCATTATATTTTAAAAAACTGGACCCCCACCTCTGACTATATCTAAAAAAACCAAGACAGATTAGAGATTTAAATGGAGGACCTCAAACTATAAAAATCCTAGGAGAAAACCTAGGAAATATTCTTCTCGATATTGGCTTTGGAAAATAATTTATGGCCAAGTTTCGAACAGCAATTGTAACAAAAAATTGATGATTGGTACCTAATTAAACTAAAGAGCTTCTGCACAGTAAAATAAATTATCAATAAAGAGACAACTCATAAAATGGGAGAAAATATTAGGAAATTACACTTCCAACAAAGGTCTAATGTCCAGAATCTGTAAGGAAATGTAAAAATTTAAAAAGCAAAAATCAAATAACTCCATTTGTAAAAATGGGCAAAGGGGCTGGGCACAGTGGCTCACCCATGTAATTTCAGCACTTTGGGAGGCCAAGGTGGGAAGATAATTTGAGGTCAGGAGTTCAAGACCAGCCTGGCCAATATGTTGAAACCTCATCTCTACTAAAAATACAAAAATTAGCTGGGTAGCGTGTTGCCTGTAATCCCAGCTACTCAGTAGGCTGAGGCATGAGAATGGCTTGAACCTGGGAGGCGGAGGTTGCAGTGAGCCAAGATCATGCTACCGCACTCCCATCTGGATGACAGAGTGAGACCCTTTCTCAAAAAAATTTAAAAAGGTGGGGGGAGCAAAGGACAGGAAAAGACACTTCTCAACAGAAGATGTCAAAGCAGCTGACAAACATGAAAAAATGCTCAACATCACTATTCATCAGAGAAATGCAAATCAAAATGACAACAAGGTAACATCTCACACCAGTCAGAATTCTGATTACTAAAAAGTCAAAAAATAACAGATGCTGTCAAGGCTTCAGAGAAAAGGGAGTGCTTATACACTGTTGATAGGAACGCAAACTGGTTCAGTCACTGTATAAAGCAATTGGGAGACTTCTCAAAGAAGTGAAAAAGAACTACTTTTTGAGTATATATATATATATATATACTGGGTAGTATATACTCAAAGAAGTGGTTCTTTTTCACTTCTTTGAGAAGTCTCCCAATTGCTTTATACAGTGGCTGAACCAGTAGTATATACTCAAAGAAAAATAATTCATCCTTTCAAAAAAACTAATGTACTCATATGCTCATTCCTGCACTACTCACAATAGCAAAGACATGAAATCAACCTAGGTGGCCACCGACAGTAGATGGATAAAGAAAATGTGGTGCATATTCACTATAAAGTACTACACAGCCATAAAAATAAAATTATGCCCTTCACAGCAGTATAGATGGAGCTGGAGGCCATTATCCTAAGCCAATTAATGCAAGTACAGAAAACCAAATACTGCATGTTCTCACTTATAAGCAGGAGCTAAACACTGAATATACATAGACATGAGGACTTCTAGATGGGAGGAAAGGAGGAGGAAATGGGCTGAAAAACCACCTATTGGGTACTGTGCTAACCACCTGGATTATTTGTACCCCATGCCTCAGTGTCAAGAATTATACTCATGTAATAAACCTGCACTTGTGCCATTTAATCTGTAATAAAAACTGAAATTGTTTTAGAAAGGAATTAGACACAGATGAGCAAACTAAAACTAAAACAAGTAGGAGGAAAATGCTAAATGTTAGAAAGGAAATAAATAGTAGAGATTAGAAAAATGCTAGAAAAAATGAAAGAAACCAAAAGTTTTGTCTTTAAAAACCTCAACAAAAACTAAATTATTTAGCTAGACTCACCAAGGAAAAACCGAAGACTCAAATCACTAAAATTAAGAATGGATGAGGGGATACTATGAGCAATCATATACCAAGATATTAGACAACCTAGATGAAGCAGACAAATTTCTAGATAAAGAAATGATCGGGCCAGGAGTGGTGGCTCACGCTTGTAATCCCAGCACTTTGGGAGGCCAAGGCGGGTGGATCATGAGGTCAGGAGTTCGAGACCAGCCTGGCCAACATGGTGAAACCCTTTCTCTACTAAAGATACAAAAAATTAGCCTGGTGTGGTGGGGCACCCCTGTAATCCCAGCTACTTGGGAGGCTGAGGCAGGAGAATTGCTTAAACCGGGGAGGCAGAGGTTGCAGTGAGCTGAGATCATGCCATTAGCCTCCAGAATGAATGATAGGACAAGAATCCATCTCAAAAAAAAAAAAAAAAGAAATGATCAAAATAGATTCAAGAAGAAACAGAAACTCTCAGTTGGTTTATAATGAGAAAAGATTGAGTTAATAATCAGAAAACTTCTCCAAAAGAAAAGCTTGGACCAAACTTCCTTGATAAATTCTGTCGAATATTTAAAGAAGATGTAACACCAATTATTCACAATCTCATACAAAAAACATAACCAGAAAGATCATTTCCTGATT